TCACGGTAATAGATTTTATTACTTTTAACAATGTCGTTTTTTTTTTAATTTTTTTTTTAACGTTTATTTTTGAGACAGAGACAGAGCATGAACGGGGGAGGGGCAGAGAGAGAGGGAGACACAGAATCGGAAGCAGGCTCCAGGCTCTCAGCCATCAGCCCAGAGCCTGACGCGGGGCTCGAACTCACGGACCGTGAGATCGTGACCTGAGCTGAAGTTGGGTGCTCGACCGACTGAGCCACCCAGGCGCCCCAGCAATGTCGTTGTTTAGAAGGCCGACAGAAGATGTATGCTGGCAGTCTGCAGCAATAATTTCTGTTTGCACGAAGGGAAAACTTTAGGCAGCTATAAATCTTTGGAGACTTGTTGTTTTCTGTATTTTCTCAATGTGTCCGGAGACCGGTTGAGCTTTTTGGTTAGTAGAGTGCGCTCCCTCCCTCCCTCCTCTCAGATTTCTTCCCAAAGCCGTGTGACGTGCGGGAGGAGGTCATGGATTCCTGAGAGGCTCTGCACGCGTGACGACTTGCCCAGAGAGCCTGGCGGCAGACGCCCTCCTGAGCTTTTCTTCTTCATCGTGTTACAGACGGAATCGCTCCAGATGCCTGGGATTTCCTCATCGGATCACCGCGTTTCAGACAGGGACCTGTGAGCAGCCTTTCACCTTGGGGCGGGAAGAAAGGTCTGTGCCTTGTCGCCATTGTGTCCTCTCCCTCGGGGCCACCGGGGTGAGTCCCTGAGCCAGGAAGGGGAAGGGGATTCCCTTTGGGTCTGTCGGGACAGTAATTTGCTGGGAGGATATTTTGTTGTTTACATAAAAAGTAAAGTCAGGAGGGTGCCTGGCTGGCTCTGTTGGAACAGCACGTGACTCTTGACCTTGGGGTCACCGTGTCCTGAGTTCGAGCCCCATGTTGGGTGTAGAGATTACTTGCGAATAAACGAGTCAATGACTTTTAAGAAGTCACGCCCAGTTTCCAGTGTGGCCTGTGGTTTCGAAAGAGAGCTCGAGCTGGGGAGCAGGAAGCAGGTGGACGGTGGGCGCGGCTCCCAGGCAGGATGTGAGGAGGCAGGCACAGGTGCTCTCTCTGCCCTCTGATGAAGCTGGCTTCCAGAAGGACCAGGGAAGGTGGGGCCCTGCTGTGTTTTCCTGATGAGTCTAGAACAACGGGCAGAGATCTCTTTCGCCTTCACCTTCTGGGGAGAGTTGGCCTCACCGGCCCTCCCCAGAGACCCTGTCCTTTCATGTGACTGTCTCCTCTGGCCCGAACTGCAGGCAGCTGAAGTCCTGCAGTTGGTGGCCTCTTTCCAGCTCGGGGCCACGGGGCACACTTGACTGGAGACGAAGAGACTGGGGGCAAATATCGTGACTTTCGGTCATCCATTCTTTCCTTTGTGAATGGGCGCCCCAGGACCATAGTCTGGTTTGCCCCTCCCGGGCTGAGAGTTGAGTCTGTTTGCTGTCTAAAATCGTGTCAACAGGGGCACCTGGGTGCCTCAGTCGGTTAAGCGTCCGACTTCGGCTCGGGTCATGATCTCATGGTTCGTGGGTTCGAGCCCCGCATCAGGCTCTGTGCTGATGGCTCAGAGCCTGGTGCCTGCTTCAGATTCTGTGTCTCCCTCTCTCTGCCCCTCCCCCACTCGCACTGTGTCTCTCTCTGTCTCACAAAAACAAATAAACATTAAAAAAAATTTTTTTTTTCTACTTCG